TTGTTCAAGGGAATCCAGTGTGTGTAGCTGGGATAGTTCTGTCAAGGTAATAGAAAGCTTTAGTAAGATAATGAGGAGGAGGACACAAAAGAAGACATACTAAGCAGCAGGGAAGGGCAATGACCAGCATGATCTCTTGACAAAATTCTGCCAGCCTTTGCCCTACTTCATTTTGTTTTTGTTTTTGTTTTTTTTCTGTTCTAAAGTTTTGTTTTCTACTCACTAAACAAATAATTATTCTGAAGACTTCAAACATACTGTGTACATAGTCTTATTTCTCTACAAATGTTATGTATTTTAGCCCATATTACATAGAGTTCAGATTCTGTAGCCAGTGATAGAAAAAGTCCCATGTTTGGTAGTAAACTGTATCTTCTTTTTCCTTCAGAGATAAAGTCAGTCTATCCAATTCTGCACAGTCCCAATATCTTGTTCAAGATCAAATCTTCAGCCGGTAGCTCTTCATTTCTCCAACATTGCGCATATGTGATCCTTGCCGCTGTTATTACATGCAAAGTCAAATATATACTTTGTTTATCGAGATCATCGAGGGGAATGCCCAACAGAAATATTTCTGGTTTAAACATTACAGATCTTAGCAACATTTCCCCAAGCCATCTATGTATTTTAACCCAATTTTGCTTTTTCACAGGTCCAGCACATGTGATAAAAGGTACCAGGTTTCTGTTTACATTTCCAACACTTATTTGACATGTTAGGAAACATTTTAGCTAATCTGTTGGGTGATAGATACCATCTATAAAACATTTTATACAAGTTTTCTTTATAGGAAGTTGCCAAAGTTATCTTAACATTTCTTTCCCACAACTTTTGCCACCTCTGCAATTCAATGTTATACCCAAAGTTTTGTGCCCATGTTACCATTGTTTCTTTAACTTGCTCATCTTCCATTTTCATTTCTAAAAGAAAATTATGCAATCTTTTAATCATTTTTTCATCTGATTTTAAAATTAATTGATCAAAAGTGTTTTGTTCCATATAGAAACCATACATTTTAAAATCTTTAACATGTCACGATTTTATCTGCATTTGATGCCTAACCAATGCCCTGGTCTTGAAGTTCTTGATTTGATTTCAATTTCCCTTCATTGTCCAAGATGTCATTATAACACACAATCTTATTGAAATTTAATGCATTTGGGTATACAAAAGCTTCCATAGGAGAAAGCCATCTTGGTATCTTATTATAAATTTTTATCTTTACTTTTTTCCATACCGAAATCAATGCCTCCCTAATGTAGTGATTTTGAAAATACCCATGAGTTTTACACTTCTCATGCCACACAAAAGCATGCCTACCCATTTGTAAGTCGTGACCTTCAAGATATAAAATCCTTTTGTTCCTTAATGTTATCCATGCTTTTAGCCACACTAGCACACATGCTTGATAATACAACAACCAATCTGGGAGCCCAAAACCCCCGTTCCTTTTGGCCTCCTGGAGCATTTTTATTTTAATTCTTGGTTTCTTCTTTTGCCATATAAATCTCAAAATGTGTTTATTTAAATCATCAAAAAACTTTTTCTCAATTTTTATGGGAATTGTTTGAAATAAAAACAAAATCTTAGGTAGTATAATCATTTTAACTATAGCTATTCTTCCCAACAATGATACTTTTAAATTAGACCATTTTGCCAAGTCTGCCTTGATCTCTTTAAACTATTATTATTGTTGTTGTTGTTATTATTATTATTATTATTATTATTATTATTATTATTGTTATTATAACATTTCTTACAACACAATAAAATACATTGAAATACAATAGAACATAATAAATTACCATTAAATACAAAAATACAAAAAATACATTGAGTTACAAACATAATAATATAAAATTAAAATTATCAGTATAAAGTAAGTAAATAAATAATATAGGAGGAGAAAAGAGAAGGAAGAAGAAGTTGCCCTGGCTAGATCATATATTTTAACAATTAAAATGATGTTTAAATAAAAAGGTCTTTACCTGGCACCGAAAAACCAGTAACGACGGTGCCAGGCAGACCTCTTTGGGGAGTGAATTCCATAGGTTGGGCGCCACCGCAGAGAAAGCCCTCCTCCGAGTACTTACTCTCCTAATTTCTTTCATGGAGGGTTCCCAGAGAAGGGACTCTCCCGCAGATCTCAAAGGGCGGTTGGGCATATACGGACGTAAGTGCTCGTTCAGGTAGCCAGGACCCAAGCCGTTTAGGGCTTTATAGGTCATAATCAACACCTTGAATTGGGCCTGGGCTTCAATGGGAAGCCAGTGAAGCTGACGGAGGACTGGAGTCATGTGAGCATAACGTCCCGTCCCCGTCAGCAACCTGGCAGCTCTATTTTGCACCAATTGAAGTGTTCGGACCGTCTTCAGGGGAAGTCCCACGTAAAGTGCGTTACAGAAGTCTAGGCGGGAAGTCACCAGCGCATGTGTCACCGTCGCCAGGCAGTCAAACTCCAGGTATGGGCGCAGCTGATTAATCAGCCGAAGCTGAAGGAAGGCGTTACTCGCCACCGCTGTCACCTGAGCTTCCAAAGAAAGCTCCGGGTCGAGGAGTACTCCTAAGCTGCGGACCTTATCCCTAAGAGGGAGTGTTGCACCATTCAGGACCAGGTCAAATCCACCCTCTCCGAAGCCCGATCCGCCAACCAACAGGACCTCCGTCTTGTCTGGGTTGAGTTTCAGTTTATTGGCTGTCTTTAAACTATTTAATGTAATTGTCTTGTTTCAATGTAGTGCATCTAGCTGTTAAGTGGATTCCCAGATATTTAACCTTTTTCACTATTTGAAGATCTAGCTGTTCCATCAAGGCTGTTCTTTGATTCAACATACTTTTTTTAGTAATAATTTAGTCTTTTCTCTATTTATTTTCATCCCTGTAACTTCTCCATTTTCTTTTTTTTTTCACAATTTATGTGCTGCTATTTAGGTTCTTCTAAGATGAAAACTAAGTCATCTGCAAATGCTTAGAGTTTATATGTTTCTTCTTTAACTCTAGTTCCTATAATTTCCATATCTTTCTTAACATTGTATTAAGAACCTCTAAAATTAATATGAATAACAATGGTGACAAGGGACATTCTTGTCTTGTGCCTTTTTGGATATTTATAGTCTCTGTAGGTTGTCCATTAATTATTCTGGTAGTCTGTTTTTGATAGATGTTATTGTGTTTATGAATGTTTCACCAAAATCCATTTGTTTTCATTGTTCTTTCACAAACTGCCAATTAATATTGTCAAATGCTTTTTGTGCATCGAAAAACAGTAATGCCATTTGTTTTTCAGAGTGAACTTCATAGTACTCTAAAATGTCCAGTATGGTCCTTAGATTATCTCTAATTTGCCTTTTAGGCAAAAAGCCATTTTGATCCGTATATATAAACTCAATTAATTTTTTTTCAATCATTCTGCCATTACTGAAGCAAAACTTTTATAATCCACATTTCAAAGTGATATTGGTCTATAATTTTGAATTTGTGTAAAGTCTGTGTCTTCTTTCGGTATCAAAGTGATTTTCACCTCCATCCATGTATTCGGGATTTTAGCTTCAAATAGAACTGCATTACATATATCCTTAAATGAATTATTTAAAATTTCTTCAAAACATTTATAGTATTCTGCCAGTAATCCATCAGGGCTGGGAGTTTTATCATTTTTCTGTCTTTCAATCACTTTGCTTATCTGTATCGTTGTTATCTCCTCATTTAACATTTTTTTAAAGTTCTCTGGAAGTTTGGTAGGTTTTCCTTTCATATATATTCTTGAATGTTCTCAGCTGGTACGTCTTTAGCTTGGTATAATTCTGTAAAGAACTTTTCCGCTATTTATTGTTGCATTTTGTACATGTAAATGTCCTTCATCATCTTTCAACTTAAGAATTAATCTTTTTTCTCTTTCTTTCTTTAACTTGTAGGTTAGCCGTCTTCCTGGTTTATTAGCATTTTTATTTTTTAAATGCCCTGCTTCATTTTGTACTCCAAGGCCAAACTTTCCTGTTATTCCGGTTATCTTTTGGCTTCCAATCCCCCATGATGATAAGGACATCATTTTTTGGTGTTATTTCTACATAGTGTTGTAGGCCTTCATAGAACCGGTCAACTTCAGCATCAGTGGTTGGGGCATAGACTTGGACTACTGTGATGGTGAATGGTATGACTTGGACTCAAACTAAGATCATTCTGTCATTTTGGAGATTGTATCCCAGTACTGCTTTTCCTACTCTTTTACTGACCATGATGGCTACTCCCTTTCTTCTGAGGGACTCTTGCCTGCAGTAGTATACCTGATGGTCATCTGAATTAAATTCACCCATTTCTGTCCATTTTAGTTCACTTATTCCCAAAATGTCGATGTTCAGTTTTGTCATCTCATGTTTGACCACATCCAGCTTATGTTGATTCATAGATTTTATATTCCAGGTTCCTATGTAGTATAGTTCTTTACAGCATTGGACTTTCCTTTCACCACCAGATACATCCGCAACTGAGTGTCCTTTCGGCTTTGACCCAGTCGCTTCATTCTTTCTAGTGCTACTAGTAATAGCCCTCCGCTCTTCTCCAGTAGCACATTGGACACCTTCTGACCTGAGGGGCTCATCTTCTAGTGTCTTATCTCTTTCTCCTTTAGAACTGTCCATGGGGTTTTCATGGCAAGGATACTGGAGTGGATCTGACCTTTTGTCAGAGCTCTGTGCTATGACCTGACCATCTTGGGTGCCCCTGCACGACATAGCTCATAGCTTCATTGAGCTACGCAAGCCCCTTCGGCAAGGCAGTGATCCCTGAAGAGGAAATCCCCATTAGGATATGCAATTTTATAGTAAAATATTACATTAATTTGTTTTTTTCTGATGTAGTTATTTTTCCATGCAACAATAGTTAAATTCATAAGTACCAGTTTAGGGTGGCTGTGAGGGGGATCCTTAATGTATACGTAGTATATTATGTATAGTATAGTCAATGTTCACAATTGTCTTTTTTGGTCCTGCTGAAATCACAAGGTAGACAAGTTGGCTGGACTCTACAACATCCACATGCGCACAGGCTGTTTCTGTAACACTGGAGCTTGTCTGCAGCATTTGGGGATTAGCTGTGAAGATGTCAAAAAGAACCTCCAGGTAGGGATGTGTGGTCCATTGTTGCTGTCAACTTAGGGGTGCAATAATATTCAATCTTCCCGTTATTTCCTATTAATTCCCAACAAAGTCCACATAATAGTTTTACTTAAGTTCATTCTCCTTCTCCCACACTGCCAAAGATTTTCATTCTAATGTGTAATGCCATCTTCAGTTTTACGTACAGGGCAATATTTACGCTGGTAGAATTGATTTAAATTAGGGATTTATATCATCAATGAAAAAGGGTGAGTTTAAATCTATAAAGAGAACAAACCTGTGGCTCTTAGACAGTGTCTGGGGAGCTATGGGATACTTAACATTTCCAGATCTGAGATCAGAGAGAGAGGTCTGACTTTGAAGCTGGGAATCCACACTCTGTTTCACCCTCCACCCACTCCACTGCTGACATAGAACTGTAACAACTGCCTCTCTAAGGAGAGAGCACAAATTCAAAGAGGGTGACAAGGGACTGGTTTCAGTAGTTTGGGAAGGGAGGAACCAGGCCAGTATGCAAGGTATCTTGCCAATTCCCTAGCTTCCTATTCTTCCCATCTAAAATGCCCCCCTAGATGGCCAAAACTGGCAGTGTAGCGAGAATGCATAGGAAGATGGAGGTGGGGTGGAGGGCAGGGGCAAGTTCACTTTTGCTGTTCCTCCCTGGATAACTGTAAGTCTGAGTTTGAAGGTTTACTACTATCAGGATAGGATTGCTCCCTAAATTGTGTTAAATAGGATATTATTTACATTGTTTCATTCTTGAAACTAGGCAAAATAGACAAGGAACCAATGAAGTTTATATATTCATACTTGAGTGAAATGATTAAATAAGAACAGAGATAGAAACTAGAGCTTCATTATTTATTTATTTATTTATTATTTAATTTAAAGCTGCTCTATACAGTCCTCTTACCAAATAGTCTCAGGATGGTTTTACAATAAAACAAAGTAAAGCACAGCATCACTTCTATACAGTAAAACCTCAATTAAAATACTGGGAATTTAAAGCAATTTAAACTTTAAAATACTGGGAAAATAAAAAGGTTTTAGCCTGGTGCTGAAAAGAATAAAGTGTCGGCACCAGGCACACCTCTCTGAGGAATTTATTCCATAACTGGGGCACCACCACAGAGAAGGCCCTTCTCTGAGTAGCCACTCTCTTAATCTTCAAAGAGGGCTCCCAAAAAAGGACCTCTGACCCAGATAATTGATTATTATTAATTTGTTTGGAAAATGTATAATCCATTTTCATTTTAAGGAGTGCAAAGTTAAAACAAAAAGAATGTAGAAAAAGAAAACCAGTGCCTTAAAGTCAAAACAGCACTCAGTTTTCGAATAGGCAACAACAGGAACGCACAATAATCTTCAAGTACTTGATGAAATATACAGAATTTCAGTTCAGTGAAGATGGTTCCAAGTGGGTCTCTCTTGGAAACCAACCACGAAAAGGGGAATCCTAAAGAGTTGACTTTTTGAATAACCAGGAGTATGACTTGGAAGGAAGTGACATAAAATCCTGGTTAATTTCTATTCTGAGGGAGAGTAACTGGAGAGATTGCTCTGCCCACAAAAGGTGGCTCTACCTTGGGGCATTCAGTCTGACTGTAAAAATAGCTAAATATTTTGTATTTTAACTGCATAAGGAAAAGTAGTCATATCACCTTATATGTGTGTGTATATTTTTTTGTCCCTAACTAGGCTGGTCACGTCTGTGGAGATGACATTGACGTAATTAATGGAAACCCCACTGGCTCTGTGAGAATCTCTTTTGGCTATATGTCAACATTTGAAGATGCACAGACCTTTCTAAAATTCATTATAGCCACCAGACTCTCTGGCTGCAATGTGGTTAAATGTCCATCTCAAAAAGAGTCCATAGCACCTCCCAGAGAGAAGGACTACACTTGTGACCACCGTTCAGATGAACTTCCTCTCAAAAGGGTCACTAAGGATTCTCAGTTCAGTGTCCATTCTGCTTCAGTGACAATACCGGTCAATCTACAGCCAACTGAGAGACAACCAGAAAGGGCCATACCTGAAGTTTTGAGGGATTCAGCAGAAGCACTGCCAAGTAGTAGAAGACCTATCACTCTCACCAACATTTATATATATCCAATCAAATCGTGTGCTGCATTTGAGGTAAACTATTTCTGTGATCTTTTAAAAGATGTGTTTGTTTTGATCAAGTCTGTTGAAGTTATAGATTCAACACACTATATTTCATAGGTGTTTTATGTTGTGCCCAGTCCTCTCTTTAGTTGGAGAGGGGTTGCTGGCTTCAGGTGGCAGTTTTGGAGATACCATTTAAAATACAGGTCAGTCATAAGTGATGGAGAAAAACTATGCAGAATAAACAAATTAATGCTGTGTAATGTAGCATATGTAAGTTCCTCCTTGCTCATTTCCTTTCTAAGCAAACCATCTTGGGTGTTGCACCTTTTCTCAGTGGGAAGTTGTTTCTTGACCATTCTAGTTGCCATTTTCTCTCATTTTTCCAGCTCCACAATATTTTTCTTTAGATGCGGCTACTAGAGCTGTACATATTATTCAAAGTGCAATTTGTATAAGGACAATATGATGTTGGCAGTTCACAGGACTTGCATACTGCATCAACATTTTCATTGAACTACCTGCTAATCTTTTTTAAAATTCTTGGCCAGTCACTGCTAGTTTGGATCCCATCAGCTTATACTTGGAATTGGGATTTTTTGACCCAAAGTAGATTACTTGCTTACCTTGAACCACACTGCCATCTTGATACTCATTCTCTCAGTTTGGAGAGCCTCAATGTCTGATTTGGTTTTAACCACCCTAAATAGTTTGGTGTCATTGGCAAACTTGGCTGCTCACTTGTAATTCCAGGTAATTTATGGATATGTTGAAAAGCACAGGTTCCAATACAGATTCCTGTGGGATTCCACAGTTTACATGCCTTCATTGAGAGAATTTATCTTTTATTCACTCTCTCTGCTTGTTGTTCTTTAGCCAGTTACAGTTCCATAAAAGGACCGTCCTCTTTACACAATTACTGGTTCATAAGAGAATCTCCAGTTTAATTCTCTGATTGTTAAGTTGGGTGAAGAATCATTAGTGAGGGACTTCGATTTCCAGACCCCCTTCAGATCCCTTTTTAAAAATAGGTGTTGCATTGGCCATTCTCCAGTCCTATGGTACAGAGGCTGATCTTGGGGACAAGCTGCATGTTTTTGTAAGAAGACATGCTATATATCTTTTGTCAGCAATTTTATGTTTGAGTTCATGTTTATGTTTAAGCATGATAGGATGGATACTATCTGATCCCAGTGATTTATTAGTTTTCATTTTGTCAATAAGGCTGAAAATAGCATCTTTTGTCATCAGCATTTGATACAGATTCTCAGACTCCCTTCATTTCAAGCATGGGGCATTTGTCTTGCATCTGGTGCACTGAAGGCAGATGAAAAGAATTAATTCCATTTCTCCACAATTGTCTTATCCTGTTTCACTACTCCTTTAACTCCATTGTCGTCCAATAGTGCAGCTGTTTCCCTAGCTTGTTTCTTGCTTCTAGTATATTTAAAGGATTCTTTATTGTTGCCCTTGATGTTGTTAGCAATATGTCTCTCAAAATTACTTTCACATCCCTTATTGTGTCCTGGCATGACTTTTGTGCAAGCTTGTGTTCTTCGTCATGGCCTCTGTGCATTACACATATTGGTGCTGTGCCTGTGCAGTGTCTGTAGCCAGGAAGATTTGAAAGCTTAACGGTTTTGGTGGGAGCTCAGCACCCTTCCCCCACCATAGTATAAGAAGCTGGAGTGCCTGCCATTTTCCCAGTCTTCTTGCGACCGCTGTTTGCTGTGCCTCAAGCCTTTTGTCTCTCAGTCTGTAGCTATGTTGTTGTATCTCAATTCCTTTTTGACTGTTGTTCTTTCTATCTTAGCTTTCTTGTTAAGATTTCCAAGTTATTTACCCTCCCTGTTAGAAGTTTTTCTAATCCCCCGTTTTTCCCTTTTCCCCAAATATATATCTATATATATAGAAATATATGTTTCTATATATATTAGAAATATTGGGGAAATATATATATCTATATCTATCTATATATGTTTTCTCTTCTATCATTTCTCGACTTTACTGTCTTCTCTTTTCTCTCGATGGCTCAGCATGCTGCTTTCCGCAAGTGTTCCCAGTGTGGGGCTAAGATGTCCCCCACTGATCTGCATGATCTGTGCCTTCTCTGCCTTGAGGAAGGTCACAGAACCAATAAGTGTGGCCATTGTCAGGCCTTCACCAAGCAGGCGGGGAAAGACCGAGAGAACCACCTGCGCAAACTTCTCTGGGACCAGGCTTTGGTCGCATCTGATCAACTTGCGACCCAGTCCGCTGTGCAGCCTTCCACCTCGGCTGCCCCTCTGCCTCGCCCATCGGCCGATGGAGCTACTCTGCTGGAGGTCAAATGCTCCTCTAAGTCTCCTCATAAACAAAAGGTGAAGAGGAAGCACAGTGGATCGGACAAGTCCTTGGCCCACAAGAAGGCCAAGAAGGACAGGGTGGACAAAACAGCCCAAAAGACCAAGAAAGCTGACCAACCGCAGCACCTTGATTCGGGATCATCCATCCCGTCGATCCCAACAGCGGTATCGCTACCGACACTGACTGGCCCAAGTCTCCAGCTGGCCATGCAGGTGACCCCACCAGGGTCCTCACAACAGATTGTCCCTTCGGCCCTGTCCTTGCCAGATCATTCGGAGGCCGCCATGCCAGGATCGATTTCTGATGGAGATCCGGGACTCTTCACAGATGACTCCTCCAATGGCATGCTCGCCTACTCCACAACCTTTGCCTGAGGTTTCTCCAAGGGCCTCACAGCAGGTGTGGCGGCAGCAGTGTTTCCGGCTGCGCTTCCAGAGATTGGGTGCAAGTGCCCTATGGGGCCTCCCATCACAAGCCCTGGGACAACTATGCACCCTATGGATATTACCCATCGGTACTCCAACGTACACTGTCTCCATTCCCAATGGACACTCCGTCAACATCTGTGGCAGTTCAGACCAGGCGCTCTTCCTTGCCAGCTGACTCCTCCTCAAGTCCTCCACTCCACTACGATTCGGAGTCAGAGGACTCAGATGCAGCGTCGTCTTCACCGGACGCAGTGATTACTATACAAGCTCCCAGCTCACCCGAGGAGTCATATTCGACGTTCAGGTGTGATTGGTTAGGTCACTGGAGACCGAGGCCCAGCACCGCTTCGATTCCAGTACCGATAATTTTTATAACATCGTGAAGAGGGAGCAATCTGCCGCCATCATTCTGCCACTCATTACGACGCTTCGTCAAGCGATGATGGAGTCATGTAAGTTCCCCAACCAGCCACAACCGACTTCACGGCAATACGAATCCATGTATCGAGTTCAGGAGCAAGACATCCCATTCTTCCTGTGCCATCAGAAACCAAACTCGATCGTTGTGGAGTTGTCTCAGGGTTGCGAGTCGAGAGAACTCTCCACTCCTTGTGACAAGGAAGGGTGAAAAATCGACATGGCGGCTTGTTATATCTATGCCGCTACAGGTCTCAGGCTCTGGATTTCCAACTATGAGGTGACGCTGGCCTGCTACCAGTATTTCCTTATGCAGAAACTGGAAAACATCACAGTGTCGCTTCCGGAGCAGCAGAGGGACCTGGCTCACGTCTTCATCAGGGAGGTGATGCAGGTGGCAATTGAACACCTTTTGACAGTGAGACATCATGTTGACTGTGACTCAAGAGCTCTCGTTGGTGCTGTAGCCCTCTATCGCCATGCCTGGCTCCAGAACTGCAATTTCCTGGATGAGACCAAGCACCGGATCGAGAACATGCCCTTCGATGGCTTGGGGCTGTTCAATGCCAGGACGGACCACAAGTTCAAGACCATCCATTCATCTCGCGTCATGGCTTGTCTCATGGAAGTCCCAGCTTAGTCTAGGCGTAAGTGGTCCTGGTCTCGTACCTCTTACCGATACCAACCGTATTCTCAGTTCTCTGGCCGGCAGCAGTTCCAGCCGCGTCAGCAGCACTGTAAAAAACCAGTGCAGAGCTACCAACAGAGCCATCACTGCCCTGATTCCGACAAGTGCCAGCGTTGGCGGACCGAACAAACCTCTCCTCCACTCCTGAACCCACCCTCCCCTCTTCCTTTTAGGGATGGGCTTCAAAGTCGACTCCCCATCCGGGAGTCCATCACATCTGATCAGTGGGTTTTATCCATCTTGGAGCACAGATATAAAATCAAGTTTGATACTGTACCCCCATTGGGACTGATCCAATATACATCTCCGTCATCGGTCCTTAGAGACGTAGTTCAGCAGCTTCTTCGTAAAGGAGCAATTCGTCAACTCACACACTCAGAGGGGCTCCACAGATTCTATTCGAGATATTTTATGGTCCTGAAACAGGATGGTGGTCTTCACCTGATATTGGACTTATGTGACATCAACAAGTTTATCAGAACTAAAAAGTTCCGGATGACCACCCTTCAAAGCATCCTTCCGTTGCTCAGGAGAGAGGATTGGTTCACTTCTTTGGACTTAAAGGATGCTTACTTCCATATTAGCATCCACCCGTCGCATAGATGACTTCTTCGGTTTACATTCGGCTCCGACCTGTTTGAGTACAACATTTTACTGTTCAAACTGGCTACTGCTCCAAGGGTCTTCTCCAAATGTATGGCCCCTGTGTGTGCACACCTCCGGCTTCAGGGAATTCAAGTATACCCTTACCTCGATGACTGGTTGATCGTCTCCTTGTCTAGAGAAGGCCTTCTATCAGCGATCCAAACTACATGCTCCCTCCTGGATAGCTTGGGACTTTGTATTAATTATGAAAAATAGTGCCTTGTTCCTTCACAGATCATTGATTTCATCGGAGCCCATCTCAATTCCCTGACCACGAGAGCCTTCTTCCCTCAAGAACAAGAGAAGCTTTGCTCATGCATTCGATGAATCCACATGGACAGGACTGTTCCTGCTCTGTCAATACAGAAGCTCCTTGGACACATGGCCTCCAGGGTCTCCGTGGTCCCACACACCAGGCTACGGATAAGACCCTTACAGCTCTGGTTGAATGGCCTCTTCCACCCACAGCGAGACTCACCACACCGACCTCTTCATCTCCCAGCCTC